TGGTTAAACTTTTAAAAACAAAGTAGAGATTTGGACATCAGCAAGATGGTGATATAGGACTTTCCATCATTCCTCCCTGCCCCCACAGAAACATCAATTTGAACAACTGTCCATGCATGAAAATACCTGCATAAGAGCTAAGGAAACCAAGTGAGAGATTACAGCACCTGGGTGTAGCACAGGAATAAGAAAAGATGCACTGAAGAAGGTAGAAAGGATAGTTTTACCTTACTCACATTACCCCCAAAATCTATGCATCCCAGTGTGAAGAGCGATACCCTTCACTTGAAAAAGGAGAGGGAAGCAAGCATTGGACATTGTTTGAGATCCCAACACCAGGCCTGGCCCAGTAAAACTCAATACTGGGCAGGCCCCCAAGATCCCAGACTCTAGGCTGGTGCCCTCAGACTGAGCCTCCAAGCCTGCCTTGGGGCCAGGCCAGATCCCTCAGAACCAGGCTCCACACCTGCCCCGAGGACTCAGCCTCTGGGCCTGTCCTTCCTCCAGGCCAACTCTAGTAGCCCCAGGCTCTGAACCAGCCCTAGTACCAAGCTGGCTCCAGCAGCCATATTCATCAGAGTAGCACCTGTGGGCCCAGCCTGCAGGCTGGATCCTGTGGCCTCAGGCTCCAAGCCTGATCCAGGTTCCAGACCACCTCAGCACCAGGACAATCCCCACAAATTCAGCCTCCAGTCTTGCCCCAGTGGCCTGAGGCTCTGGACTGCCCACAGCAATGGGCTAGCCCCTACCAACCCAGGCTTCTGGCCTGCCCCCAGCACCATGCTTGCCCTCACAGCCCTAGTCATTAGGCTCGGGTGTGGGTCCAGCCTCTTGGCCAGCTCCTATGGCTCCAGGCTCCAGACCTGCCCCTGGTTCCAGACCACTGCAGTACCAGGTTGACATCCCTGGCCTCAGGCTCCAGGGTGGCACCCACAGACATAGGCTCTGAGCCTGCCTAGTGCTGGGCCAGTTTTTAGGGCCCTATACTCCAGCAGACCCAGGGTACAGGCTAGCTCCCACAGCTTCAGGCTCTAGGCCAGCCCCTATGGCTTCTGACACCAAGCCAACATCCATGATCCTAGGCTTCAAACTGGCCCTTGCATATCCAGGCTCCATGCCTACCTCAACAAAAGGCTGGATCCAGACTCCAGGTCAGTTCTAGTGGCCACTGGCTCCAGTAAACTAAAGATCCAGGCCTATTTTTAGCAGGCCCAGGGCTTAGGCCCACTATAGTAGACCCCGGTGCCAGGCCAGGCCCTACAGACTGAGGCTCCAGGACCACCCCTGAAGACACAGGCTCTAGGTCATCCTCTATTGACTCAGGACCCAGACTTGCCCCTGAAGACACAGGCTCTAGGCCTACCCCAGTGCTAGGCCAGTGCCCATGTACTCAGGCTCAAGGCCCACCACAGTACCAGTTCAGCTCCTTTGGACTCAGGCTCCAGGTCCACCCCTGTGGACCCGATCAATGGATCTACCACAGTTGATACTGGTTCCAGACCCAACCTGCTGATCTAGACACAAAGCCAGCCTGCCTGAGGACTCCAGCAGCAAGCCCACCCATGGACCAAGACAGTCAACCTGCCCAGAATTTCTGGATGGGCTGACTGGTAAAGGAATTTCTCAGACAAAGCCGGTATGCAAATACTGGAATAAGTCCCCACTACTTCAAATATGCTAACATCAGCCTATGGCCACAAGGATTAAGAACAATCAGGGAAACATGACACCACCAACAGAACAAAATAAAGCACCAGAAACTGACCCCAAAGAAATGGAGATTTATGAACTGTTTTACAAGGAATTCAAAGTAATTGTTTTAAGAAAGCTCAGTGAACTTCAATAAAAGTCAGAGAAAGAATTTAGGAGTCCCTTGGATACCCATGGCTGCTCCTTTAGGAGAAGGTGATTCTTCAGAGAGTCATCAGGTGGGGAAGTCCAGGGTTATGAGAAAACATGAAGGAGGGGTAGCAAATGACAAGTGCCTCATCCCAGAGTCTGGAGACAAAAAGAAAAACAAAGCATTTAATCTAGCTATGTGCCATAGTTTGAGGAATTAGTCATATACATTAACTTCCAAACGTATGCCTCCTGTTGAGTATAAAGCACAGTTATTTCTACGCAAATGATTCAGTATGTATCAGAATAATTTAGTTAAAAGATGCATTTGATCATAACAACAAAATCTGTTCATAAATACTCAAGCTCCAAAGTAATTTCTTCTGTAAAACCACTTTAGAACACATTTTTCTTTAGGGCACAAAACAGTGGTGTCATATCCTGTTGATGTTGAAGCAAAAAATCCTTGTCATTTTTGATGAGTAATAAGCTACAAAGGTATGGTAAATTCAGAAAGTCCTTTCCTGGACTTCTTCAATAAACAACTATATTTGGATACCATACAAAATGAGTTTGGGGGAACAGAAAAGCATATTTGTTTAATGTTTTAAAGTTTTTAATTTAAAATTAATCTAAAGAAGTCCTCTTAAACAGATGGAAAACCATACCATGCTCGTGGATCGGCAGAAACAACATTGTTAAAATATCTATACTACCCAAAGTGATCTACAGATTCAATGCAATACCTATTAAAATGCCAACATCATTTTTTGCAGATCTATAAAATATAATTCTATGCTACCAGAGAAGACCCCATATAGCAAAAGCAACCTTAAGCAAAAAGAACAAATTGGGAGGCATCAATTTACCAGACTTCAAACAATACTATGAGGCTATAGTAACCAAAACAGCATGGTACTGGCACAAGAACAAAGACAGACTAATGGAACAGAATTGAGAACCCAGATATAAAACCATCCTCATAGCTATCTAATCTTTGACAAAGCAGACAAAAACATACACTGGGGAAAAGAATCCCTATTCAATAAACGGTGCTGGGAAAACTGGATAGCCACATGTAGAAGACTGAAACAGGATCCACACCTCTCATCTCTCACAAAAATCAACTGACAATGAATAGCAGACTTAAACCTAAGGCATGAAACCACAAGAATTCTAGAATAAAATCTTGGAAAAAACTCTCATAGACATCAGCCTAGGCAAAGAATTTATGAAGAAGACCCCAAAGGCAATCACAGCAACAACAAAAATAAATAAATGGGACCTGATCAAATTAAAAAGCTTCTGCATAGCCAAGGAAACTATCATGAGAGCAAACAAACAACCTATAGAATTGTAGAAAATATTCGCATGCTACACATTTGATAAAGGGCTGATAACTAGAATCTATATAGAACTCAGGAAAATCAGCAAGAAAAAAATCAAACAACCCTATCAAAAAGTGGGCAAAATACATAAACAGAAACTTTTCAAAGGAAGACAAATGGCCAACAAACATATGAAAAAATGCTCAACATCTCTAATCATCAGGGAAATGCAAATCAAAACAACAATGAGATATCACTTAACTCCAGTGAGAATGGCTATTATTAAAAAGTCCCAGGCCGGACACAGTGGTTCACACCTGTAATCCTAGCTTTCTGGGAGGACGAGGCGGGAGGATAGCTGCAGCTCAGGGGTTTGACACCAGCCTGAGCACAGTGAGACTCCGTCTCTAGAGACAAGACACAAACAAACAAACAAAAATCCAAAAAAATACACAAAACCAGAAAACCCATCTGGGTGCTGTGGCACGCACCTGTAGGCCCAGCTACCTGGGAGGCTGAGGCAGAAGGATCGCTCATAGCCCAGGACCTGGAGCTTGCGGTGACTACAATCACTGCACTCTACCCAGGGACACCGAGTGACACTCTGTCTCAACAGCAACAACAACAAAAACAAAAAAAACAGGGAAAAATTCACAAAACAACAAATGTTGGCATGGATGCACAGAGATAGGAACACTCATACACTGTCAGTGGGACTGCAAACTAGTACAACCTCTGTGGAAAGTAATATGGAGATTCCTCAAAGAGCTAAAGGTAGAACTACCATTTGACTCAGCAATCCCATTACTGGGCATCTACCCAAAGGAAAAAAAGACATTCTATAAAAAAGACATCTGCACTTGAAAGTTTATAGCAGCACAATTCACAATTGCAAATATGCAGAAACAACCCAAGTGCCCATCAATACATGAGTGGATTAATAAAATGTGATATATGTATACCAGGGAGTTCTACTCAGCCACAAAAAACAATGGTGATCTAGTACCTCTTGTATTATCCTGGATAGAGCTGGAGCCCATTCTACTTAGTGAATGAAGTATCCCAAGAATGGAAAACAAGCATCACATGTACAAACCATCAAATTGGTATTAACTGATCAACACCTATGTGCACATATAGTAGTAACATTCATCAGGTGTCGGGCAGGTGAGGGGGCGAGGAAGGGATGGGTATATTCACACCTAATGGGTGCGGTGCACACTGTCTGGGGCATGGACATGCTTGTAGCTCTGACTCAGGTGGGGCAAAGGCAATATATGTAACCTAAACATTTGTACCCCCATAATATTCTGATATTAAAAAAATCTTATATTAAAAATTAATTTGCAATTAATCTGTAGCTAGGTGTGGTCATGTAACTTGCTTTGGTCAATTAAATGTAAGAATAAGTGATGTGTGCCATTTCTGGGTGGAAAATGTAAGAGCTAGCATGTGCTTTGCCATGTTTTCTTTATCCATCTGGCATGGTGACCAGCAACATTCTAGGTAGTTATTTCTGTATCAGCCTTGGTCTCTGAGTAACTAAAATTAACAAAGCCCTCTGCTAACCTGCAATGTACATGGAACATGAGCAAAAATAAACTTTTGTTTATTATAAAACAAAAGAAGTCCTCTTACCCGCCTATGATGAAGGTTTTTACCTGTTTCCAACATATGCACACTTTTTAAAATTGCTAAATCACTGGTACTTCACCTTGAGCAGTCTTTTTTTTTTTTTTTTTGAGACAGAATCTCACTCTGTTGCCCAGGCTAGAGTGACAGCCTAGCTCACAGCAACCTCAAACTCCTGGGTTCAAGAGATCCTACTGCCTCAGCCTCTCAAGTAGCTGGGACTACAGGCATGCGTCACCATGCCTGGCTAATTTTTTTTTTTCTATATATATATTTTTAGTTGTGTAGATAATTTTTTTCTATTTTTAGTAGAGATGGGGTCTCGCTCCTGCTCAGGCTGGTCTCGAACTCCTGACCTTGAGCGATCCACCTGCCTTGGCCTCCCAGAGTGCTAGGATTACAGGCGTGAGCCACCGCGCCCGGCCTTGAGCAGTCTTTGTAGTCATGATTTCAAGGCACACACAGTGATCTGTGCAGTATTTGGTGGTCACCAAGGCTTAGTGTATCTAGGCAAAAGACTATCCCTTTCCTCCAAAGATATTCCTGTCTCCTGAGCACCTTAAAAGATGTAGACTATTTTCCAAATATTCCTGATGCTTCTGGAGAAGAGGACATTTAAAGATGCACTGATATTGGGATAGCTATCTATTGACTGAAAAGTAAAGCACAAAGTTACTCTTATGTTTCAAGTGGGGTTCCTTCAAAGCTGGGAATTCTGGAATACCCATGCAGGCATGAGGCCTCTGCAGCTATCATTTTGAGCCATTTTTTGCTCCTTTCTTACTTCGTCTTTTTTGCTTGATTACATTTGATAAGTAGATTTGGGAAAAATGATTCTGGGCCTTAAAAAGCTTTACTAAAAAGGGGTTAAATACCGCTGTTTTTTCACCCTGTGCTTTGCCAAGTTGTGAAATTTTCTAGAATTATCCAAGGCCAGTGAGATCCATCCTTGGCCCATACATGCTTTCTATATGGAAGTTGTTCAAAGAATGAGCATCACATTCCACTTTGGGAGACTCATTCTTTTTTGTACCAAAGTTCAATGTAGCACAGTGTTGGGATGAACATTGGCTTAGAGTTAAAATCCCTGAGCCTCATTTTCCTAATTTGTAAATCAATAGAATTGAACTACATCTTCACAACCACAGTCTCTAAAGTTCCTTTTCTTTCTGATATTCAGTGATTTTTCAATTCATTTACATATTCATTCAGTCATCAAATATTTACTGAGCATGTGTTATGTGCCAGACACTGCACTAAGTAGGGGTGTGGTGGGGAAGTCAGATACAAGAGCAAATAATACATGGTATTATTCCTTAAAATAGCTCTAGTGGTTTTCTTTTCGTGTTGTCTTAAAGGCCTTGAGCCTTTTCTTTAGGGGATGATGAGCCATTGGTGAGTATATTTTGAGGGAGGAATGAGATCTTATTTGCATTTTAGAAAGCCGGATCTGCCCAGGGGAAATGACTGAAAAGGCTGTTGCAGTGGTTCCTGACACAAGTGAGGAGAGCTTGAGCGAAAGAGAATGAAGAGGAAGGGACCCATTAATAATTATTCTGCAATGTTAAATCATAAAAATTTGAGGGCCCCTTAAGTGCTTGGCATTGTTAACATTGTGGAGCATGCAAAATAGTGTTAAGATCTCTCTCTGCCTTCACAGTTTGGAAGCCAGTACATACTCCCTTGGAAAAAGTCAAGAAAAACAAAAATTACACTATGGAGCAATAAGTCTGAAAAATAATAATGTGTAAGATGGGAAGCTGTTTCAAGCTAGCTGTGATGACTAATTCTTCTCCTTCTGAAGTAGATGCTAAGTACCACAGTGGTTAAGGGAAGGGAAGACATATATACCAATTACAGCAGTTAAGTACAACTTAATAGAGAAAGGGGGTGGAATATCTGTGGTAGGGGAAGAAATATGTGATGACAATAAGGCATAAGTTGAGAGTGCCAAGTGATTTGCTGGTGGGATGGCAAGTGGTTGGGTGAGAGAGTGGTGTGGGATAGATGGTTCAACTACAGTTTAAAATAAGATTGAATTATATAGGTTGGAGTCAAATCCAAGAAGGTGACTAAAGCTGTGCTAGATAACTAAGACTCCCAGAAAGATAGCAGGATGGAAGTTTTCTACCATCATCTCCCTACAGTGCACCAATCTTGATAACCAGTTATGGAAAAGAGCACTTTTTTGGAAGTCCAGGAGTCCAGTGGAGAAGTTCCAGTGCACTGTTGGAGCAAAAATCTGAGGGTAGACACATTAAGGAGGGTAAGAAGAACATTTTTACTTTATCCATGTCACCCTCCCCCAAGGCAGCACAGCTAAGTGCCAAGAGAGACCCCCTCAATCCATGATTCCTCCAGTGAGAGAAAGTGAGAGTGTAGTGAGTGAGCACCCAGCATTTCCAGCTGTGTGGGATGCTACCCAAGAGGCCCATCTCTTTCTGGCCCCACAAAGAATACTAGGGGGATCAGTACATTTGAGTGGCTGTGAGGTGTTTAAAAGTGGGGAAGAGGGGTAAAAGTGTAGGGTTTTTTAATGTGATTAAAGTTAAGTTGCTTTCAGCTTAAAACAAACTTTTAAAACTGTAACATATTTTATTTACGCTTCATGGTAACAAGAAAGCAAAACCTATAGTAGATACACAGAAGAGAAAGGGAAAGGAATCAAATCATACCACTACAGAAAAATCATCAAATCACAAAGGAAGATAGTAAAATATGAAGAAATGAACAAAGGAACTATAAAACATTCAGAAAACGATTAACGAAATGACAATAGTAAGTCCTCGCCTATCAATAATTATGTTAAATGTAAGTAGACTAAATTCTGCAATCAAAAAAGATAAAGTGGCTGAATGCATTAAAAACAAACAATACCCAGGCATTTGCTGCCTATAAGAGGCTCACTTTAATGTTAACAACACAGGCTGAAAGTGAAGGGATGGAAAACAATATCTTACACAGATGAAAACTAAAAGAAAGCATGGAAACTATACTTTTTTT